TAAAGGAAGGAGGAGCCGCTGTCTGAGACCTGCAGGTGCCCAACCAGACCATGACACCACCCCCCCTCAAGGGTCGCCTCTCGGCGACCGGCCTCTGTAGAATGCCGAAAGCAAGGCGGGTCGAGAATCCGGGACCGGGGAACCCAGGACTCTCCTCCGGCCCGTACCCCTCCCAGTCGACCAGGAACTGCCTGCCCCTTCCCCGGCGGCGTACATCCAGGATGCGGCGGACCGTGAAGGCAGGATGCCCACCGATGAGCCGGGCGGGCGGCGGGGCAGCAGGAGGCGGGCACAACGGACTCACAACAACCGGCTTGACTTGGGAGACGTGGAAGGTCGGGTGGACCCGTAACGAGGAGGGCAACTTTAGCCTGACCGCGGAGCGGCCAACCACCCGCTCCACCTCAAAAGGACCGATGAAGCGTGGGGCCAACTTGCGGGAGTCCGTCCTGAGGGGAATGTCTCTGGCGGATAGCCACACCTTCTGTCCCGGGCGTAGGCAGGTGCCGCCTTGCGGCGGCGATCCGCGTAGCGGCGCTGGCGGGCGACGGACAGGCCCAAGGCCCGGCGGGTGCGCGACCCACCCGTCGGCAGCGTTGCAGATGGTGCTGGACGGAGGGGACCTCAAGGTCGGTCTCGCGCTCCGGAAAAAGGGGTGGCTGGTAGCCGAGAGAGGCCTCAAAAGGCGAGAGACCCGTCGCTGACGAGGTGAGGGAGTTGTGTGCGTACTCCGCCCACGGCAATAACGATGACCAGGAAGCCGGGTTGGAGGCAGCGACGCAGCGGAGAGTGGCCTCCAATTCCTGGTTGAGGCGTTCAGTCTGACATTAGTCTGAGGGTGGTGTCCAGAGCTCAAACATGGCTTCGCTCCAGGGATGTACAGAACGCCCTCCAGACCTGCGATGTAAATTGCGGTCCCCTGTCTGAGACGACCTCCGAGGGTATCCCGTGCAGCCTAAACACATGGTCGACTAGCAGATTAGCGGTTTCAGTGGATGTGGGGAGTCTCTCGAGGGCGACAAAGTGAGCTGCTTGGAAAACCTGTCGACCACAGTGAGGATCGCGGTCTTGCCAGAAGAAACAGGTAGACCAGTAACGAAATCCAAAGAAATATGCGACCAGGGGCGCCGTGGAATAGAGAGAGGCTGCAGCAACCCAGCCGGGCGTTGCGTGTTAGATTTGCCCCTAGCACAAACACAGCAGGCGGCCACATACTCCTTGACATCTTTATCAATAGACCCCCACCAGAAATACCTTTTAATGGGGCACTCGTCCGCGCGCCTCCTGGATGGCAGGAGAATCTCCCCTTGTGGACCCAGTCGATCACTTTGGAGCGGGCCGCCTTAGGGACAAAGCGGCGGTCAGGGGGCCCTGTGCCGGGGTCCGGCTCGGTCTCCAGTGCCCGACGGATGTCCTCCTCCACCTCCCACGTGAGGGAACCAACCTTGACGCTCGCAGGGAGGATGGTGGGCACGGCGGACGACTCCCCCGCGGCGTCAAACTGCCGGGAAAGGGCATCCGGTTTCACGTTGCGGGACCCTGGGCGGTAAGAGATTGAAAAGTTAAAGCGACTGAAAAACATGGACCAGCGTGCCTGACGTGAGTTCAGTCTCTTGGCTGCACGAATGTACGTCAAGTTCTTGTGATCTGTCCACACTATGAATGGGTGCTCCGCCCCCTCGAGATAGTGCCGCCACTCCTCAAGGCCAGCTTCACAGCCAACAGTTCCCTATCCCCCACGTCGTAATTCCGCTCAGCAGGTGATAAACGACGGGAGAAAAAGGCGCACGGATGGAGCTTGGACGCCGTGCCGGAGCGCTGGATAACACGCCCCAACCCGATGTCAGATGCATCCACCTCGAGAATAAACGGTCTCCCGGGTCGGGTGAACCAAAACCGGCGCCGAGGTAAACAGTGCCTTTAACTTGGTAAACGCTGCTCCGGCCTCCTGGCTCCAAATAAAAGGGAGCTTCGTGACGTCAGCCGGGTCAGCGGCGCTGCTACCTGGCTGTAGTTCCTGACGAAGCGCCGGTAAGAAGTTTGCGAAGCCCAAGAAGCGCTGCAGATGCCGCCGGGACGCAGGTACGGGCCACTGCACGACTGCCGTAACCTTAGCCGGGTCAGTCTTCACCTGCCCCCCGCGAGACGTAGCCAGGAAGGAGACGAAGGTGAGTGGAACACGCATTTCTCCGCCTTGACGTACAATTTGTTTTCCAGCAACCGCTGCAGCACGGCTCTGACGTGCGCCGATGTTCCACCACGTCTTTGGAAAAAATCAGAATATCGTCGAGATAAACGAAGACAAAGCGGTCCAGGAAATCTCGCAGGACATCGTTCACCAGGTTTTGAAAGACCGCCGGGGCGTTTTGTGAGACCTGAAGGGCATCACTAAATATTCGAAGTGCCCCAAGTGAGTGTTAAAAGCGGTTTTCCACTCGTCGCCCTCCCTGATTCTGACGAGGTGATATGCATTCCTGAGGTCTAACTTGGTAAAAATGGTGGCACCGTGAAGCGGCTCAAAGCGGAACTGATCAGCGGCAATGGGTATTTGTTTTTTACTGTTATGTCATTAAGCCTCCTGTAATCAATACAGGGACGGAGCGAGCCGTCCTTCTTACCGACAAAGAAGAATCCGGCCCCGACAGGCGAAGAGGAGGGTCTGATGATGCCGGCCGCCAGGGAGTCCTTTATGTACTTTTCCATGGTTGCCTTCTCAGGATGAGACAGATTGTAAAGGCGGCTCGTGGGTAGGGGGGGAGCCCGGTAACAATGTAATGGAACAGTCATATGGCCTGTGCGGGGCAGTGCTTGGGCTTTGTCCTTGTTAAATACCTCCCTCAAATCGTGGTACACTGACGGTACGACAGAAAGGTCCACGGCAGCACTCGCGTCACGTCGGGCTCGGCAACGGCTGACGGCGGGGCTGAGACGAGACAATTGGCATGGCAAAACGGGCTCCAACTTATTACTTTTGCCCAGCCCAATCCAGATGTGGGTTATGTAGCTTTAGCCAGGTGAAACCAAGGACGATGGGGATGCTGGAGGAATGGAACGTCAGGAAGGGGAGCCTTTCCCTATGGTTGCCTGAGGCGACTACAGTAACAGGAGCGGTACGGTGAGTGATGTGGGAGAAAACTTGGTTATCCAGTGCTTTAACTGGGAGGCTAGACTCCAACTCGAACAGGGGAATATTCAGTTGCTTGGCTAGTTTCATATCAATGAGACTCTGCTCAGCGCCCGAATCGATTAACGCCCGGACGTGTGGGTTGCGGAGCCGAGCAAGAGCGTAACCGGCAACAGGAAGCGGGGCTTAGAATCACTATAGGTACCGCCCACCCGTATCCCCGGACTTACCGGCGGGCGTCCCCTTTTCCCTTCTCCGGACAGGCGGCAATGAAATGCTCCGCGGAACCGCAGTAAAAACACGAACGAGCGCGGCGACGTCTCTCTCTCTCTTGCGGAGACAACCGGGATCGCCCGAGCTGCATGGGTTCCGGTTCCGGGTCAGCCCTCTCCCCAGCGACTGGGGCTGATGGCTGAACCGGAAGCGGTGACGGGGGAATGTAAACAGGTGACGCACGCTGCACTGGCCGACGGGTACTGGAGTTCCTCTCCCGCTCTCGCTCCCGCAGTCTGTTGTCAATGCGAAGCGAGAGCGTGGCTAACTCCTCGAAGGTAACCGGTTCGTCACGGGACGCTAGCTGATCCTTCATGTCCTCGTTAAGCGACTGCGAGTAGACTCCCTGAAGGGCTTTATCGGGCCAGCCGACTGCCGCTGCGGTGGTGCGGAAGTCGATCAAGTAGTCCGCGATGCTACGGCGGCCCTGGCGGAGATTTAACAGCCGGTGAACCGCACTGCCCACTGAGACGGGGTGGGCAAAAGTCCTTTTGAATTCGCCGAGAAAAGCATCGTAGCTACAGGACGGCAGCGGGTGTACGCTCAGGTAAGCCTCGGCCCAATTCAGGGCTCGGTCGCGCAGTTTCCCAATTATATAAGAAACTCGAACTGTGTCCGAAACGAAAGAGCGGGGCGAACGTCCGAACGCCAGCTCGCACTGTAACAGAAAACCGCTACAGGCCCCTGGGTCACCCACATACGCTCCGGCTCCGGGGAGGCCGCGTCGCGAAACAGGTGACCCGCTGGGGCTCGGGATCCGCCGCGGGCTGAGGCAACGGCGCGGTCGGGCGGGCAGCGCTGAGCTACCGGCGGCGGGTTCCGACTCCGCCGAGGGTTGAAGGGACTGAATGTCGGATTGCATTTTAGCCTGCTCGTCTGTGAGTGTGTGCACTTGAGCCAGTAGGTACTGCAGCGTCTGTTCGTGGCTACCGATAATAGCCCCCTGCTTACTGATCGCTACGCGGGCTGGGTCCGCTGTGTCCATATAACTGGCCTGAGTATACTGTCACGGCTCACGGCACGAGGAACAGGGATGGACACAGGCGCAGAAACCAACCCGGAAGCGAGGTGACAGAAAACAAATGATTTATTTCCGCCCACAGGTAAACAAAGGTGAAACACAAAGCGACGCCACCACACTAGTGGCGCGTAGGATTCGTCGGTGATAATGAGGGCGACCTAGACACCTCTAGGAGACGGCTGAACAGCGGGACAGCGGGGAGGTAGAACAGGACTAGGTAGGGGCCGGGGGCACTGGAACAAGAGGAGATCACGATCAGAGGGATCCAGCAGACAACCAATAATCCTCCGCAGTTGAATTGAATTGCCTTACTTGGTTTCAGATGGAGGGGACAGGTGGAGCGGAAAACCCGGAAGCGGTCGAGGCGTGGGGAGGCAGGCAGGTGAGCGGTGGGCCGGCAGGCCACGTTGTGTAAGCAGCTGGCGGCCCAGGTCCAGGAGGACGGGAGCGAGGGGAACAAGATCTCCACTCCGGGTGCTATCGCTGAGGACAAGAAAAGACAGGTCAGTCATCACACGGCATTAAGACAAGGTTTAGGATGCTCCACTGAACTAACATGGGAATAGCAGATACTCAGGCAATGAGTGTTGAGAGCGCAGGTCTGATATACCGCTGGCACGATTGCTCACAGGTGGTCAGCCAGGGAGGGGCAACCGGACTCCGCCTAAAGGAGGAGGAGCCGCTGTCTGAGACCTGCAGGTGCCCAACCAGACCATGACACCCGTAGGCCCATTTTTTTGAGTATTTTAACTTACTATACATCAATACAACCCTTATATCCCACATTTAATAATATGTGTGTAACAAATCCATAGTAACTATAGAAATTGCTAAAAAAAAAGTGCAATAAACCACGAAAAAATTTAAAAACGTTTTTTGTTTTTCACATATTTTGTTGATACAAAAATATCAAACCTATATAGCTCAAATTGTAAATGAAAAAAGTTGCACAAAGTCCTTTCAAACTACACAAAATTTATTTGGAGTTTTTTCATCAATTCATTTTTGAGATATAATCATTTTATAAACAGTAGTAAAAACGAAAATCAATAAAATGCATATTGGGCACAATTTAACAACATGACAATAAAATACAACATCAAAATGAACTATTTATAATAGTACAATACAATAATAGTACTTATAAGTGTCACAGGAATTTATATACAGAAAGGCACAGTCAAATATTGCTTTTCAGTAGCCCCGGTGGAGCATAACCAATAAATAAATTAATTAATATTTTGCACAATTTGGCAACATGACAATAATTTAAAAAAAAGTTTACAATAGTGCAGTAAAAGTTCTTAGTGTCACATTACTTTTAGAGAGAGAAAAAAGTCAAATATCATTCTTCAGCAGCAGTAGTGGAGGTGTGATAGGCCCTGTGACAGTTCCTGTCCACCAATGACGCACAGAGCCACTTTGCATGCCTCACACTTGAAGGGTGTGCACTTCCCACACAGCCTGCACTTCCGGCGCCCCTTTGTGGCTTTGTTTTGACCAGATGCCCCTTCAACAATGGCAACTGGGATGTGTTGGTAGCTCTTCGCTCCTGATTGTGAGGACACCCCACAGAGTTCAGCGACCAACTGCTCCTGGAAATCCTGGTGCGTCATTGGCTGCTGCTCCAGTCTGCCACAGAGCTCCTTGCTGACCAAGTAGCTGTTTGTGACAGCAATGTCTATAAAGTGGTGCAGAACTGTCACATACCACTTCCTGCTCTTTCTCCATGAAGAATAGGAGCCAATCAGCTGGTCTGACAGATCAACTCCTCCCATAAAGCGGTTGTAGTCCTTTACAGCTGATGGCACTGGCACCTCAATTGCTCTGTGTTGTCCTTCAGCCTTGCACATCCTTTTCACGGTGTCTCCTGAGAAGGCACTGTGCAGAGTTGAGCACACACTCACCTCCCTTGTGTCCATCCACTTGATAAAAATGAGAGGGCCCTCTCTGATCCACCTGATTGTCCCTCGTGGGACATCAGGTGGATTGTCTGTCGTGGAGATTTTTTTTGTTAAGTTTGGTTTTTGGAGATTTTTTTGTTAAGTTTGGTTTTTGGGACTCCAACTCTAGTGTCCCGAAATGTCCCACATGCTCCAAACCCCAGATCATAAAGGTGGTGAAAAAGTGCTGGGCTTGTATAAAAGTTATCACAATAAATGTGATATCCTGTTCCCAGGTAGTTTTTGTTTATAAGTGCCATCACAGCATCAAATGACAGCCCCTTCCCAGTTACCAGAGTTGACCTCCCTGTATAAATGTTAAAATCCACTGTGTAGCCTGTGTTGTCAGATAGCACAAAAAGTTTTATCCCCCACTTTGTTGGCTTGCTTTTTATGTATTGCTTCAGGAAAACTCTGGCTTTAGTGGAAACCATGCGCTCATCCACAGAGAGGTTTTGCTGTGGGTGGTATACAGCTTTGCAGGATACACGTAAACTGTCATACAGGGGACGTAGTCTGTGCAGGCAGTCATAATCTGTAGTTCCTTTTTTTCTGTCATTGAGAGTGTCTTCCGCAGGTCACTCATATGAATATTCCAAGTGATGGTGAGGAACCGGTCTCTGGTCATGACCTCAGACGGATATTGCACATGAAAAATCGAATTCACGCGCCAAAAATCTCTCATTTTAGGCAGCTTTAGAACCCCCATGTAGAGTGTTATGCCAATGTAATGGTACAGTTCAGCCTCTGTGAGATCAGTCCATGTGAATTTTTTGCCTGCAGCAATATTTTAGCTGCATTATTGTTGTGTTGACACACAGTGTTCTTATAGCAGCATGGTCAAAGTATATCTTGAATAGTTCAGATGGCGATGGACTGTCCACACATTCTGAAAATGGCAGCTGCACACCTGGCTTTCTTTTGGACAGAAATTCGGTAGAGAATGAGGCAAGCTGTCAGGGTCCTTTTCACTCATCCAGGCAGCTGCATCACCGGGAAGTGACCTGGAGCGCTTGCCTCTTTTTGCCGGAGGACAAGTCATCCGACTCCTTCCCCTCCCTCTGCTTCCCTCCGGAGTAGGGGCTGCTTCAGTTGAGCAGGAGACTTCAGTTCCCTCCTCTTCAACATTATCAACACTATACACAAAAGAAATTATACCATCTGTTCAATTTGTAAAGCACGAGAGTTATATAACGGTGTGTAATTTGGGCAAAATTGTGTCGCGGTGCGAAATTCCTCTTTTGCACTGCAAACGTAATTTTTGCTACGTTTCTCTTCCATAAAAAACATTATTTTATTTCAAACAATATACATACTTGTCTTGGCAAGGGTCAATCCCTTCAATGAAGTCGGCCTCATCCTCACTGTCGGCAGAATCAGGATCCGACAAATGGCCAGAAACACCGTATTCAGGAGGGGCGATCAGATCCAAAGCTTCACGCAATGTGAAGTATTTGGTGTGTCCGGATTGTTCCTGTATAATAATGTAATGGGTGGATGTGTTTGAGTGTGTAAAAAGTGTGTGTTCTGTGTTTTGTACGTGTATGTTTCTAGAAAAAGCGACAATATACACGAGCGAGAGAAATAACTAAATTTCCCGGGTGAAATGACGTCACTTCCTGTTGTTGTTGTACAGGTCCACGTGATAGGTCACGGTGACAACGTGACGAGGCATAATCAAAGTAGGAAGTGATGTGTACGGCTGATCAGATCGATAAAGAGTCTGGCTGAGGATTATGGTTTTTTTTTATTTGTTTGCTTTTTACATGATTTCTGCAAACATATTAGAGGAAGGAAACATCTCTCTGGGAAAAGCTGCATGTGCAATATGTAAGTACAAGATCTCCAGTTTCATATGCAAAAAAAATTATTGCGCTAGCTTACGTGGTTGCAGTTCTACTGGGATTTAAAAATAGTTAGGCAAATCGGAGCGGGACCGCTCTGCTCGGTTCTAAAGGGTTAAATAAGCTACGCATATCTTCAGTGTTGATTTCCCAGATCGTGTTCTTCCCATTCAGCTGACTCCTCAGGACTTGCCTGACCCTCTGCTTGGTACTTGGTACCAAGCAGCCTCTTCGTGGTTCCCATTTGCCTGTGATGACTGACCCGCCGGAGGATGTTCTGTCTGGCCCGTCGGTCCAGCCTCCTATAAAGCCCTCTCACTTCACTGCATATCCGCATCTTGGTTCCTTTGTTAAATTTTACAAGGCTTGCCACATGACAGCACGTGGGTGGCTTGGTGCTAATCGAGAGACAGGCTGGAACTTTGGATGGTTAGAGGTCAATCAGTGATGTAGGCGACGCAGCATGGTGTTGGTGTGCTCCCCACAACATGAATTTGATAAGCGCCACCTACAACCCTGAATTAGATAAGCGGGAGACCATGGATGGCATGTTATTTTTGTGTACTGGACATTTTAAATGTGTTCCATGACCACTTTTATTCCTATTTGAAATATGTTTATCACATTATGTATTGTCCCTCTGCTTGTCCCTGATATAAAAATATCCTGTAAAAGCCAGTCCTCTACACATGTTTTATTCTTTTAAACATTTCAAAAACTATTTTAAATAGGGTTACACTACTGGTCAAAAGTTTTAGAACTCCCCATTTTTTCCAGATATTTAGTGCAATTTAAGTTGCTCAAGGCTAATGAATAGCTTGAAATGCTACAACAGTAAGTTGTGAACTGCCAGTGGGTACCAAATGGCACTCAGAAACTGGGGCAAACTCTGACAGGAAGAGGTCTGGCAGACCCAAAGCCACAACTGAATCAGAGGACAAGTTTCTGAGAGTTAACAGTTTGTGTGATAGGTGGCTCACAGGAGAACAGCTTCAAGCACAGCTTAATAGTGGTTGTGTTAGCAAGTCTCCACTGTTAAGAGAAGACTTCGAGCTGCAGGTTTGACAGGGCAAGTTGCGGGAAGAAAGCCATTCCTAATATTTCAGAATAAGACAAAGAGGCTTGCCTGGGCCATGAAACACAGTCACTGGACTACTGAAGACTGGAAGAATGTATTATGGACTGATGAATCAAAATTTGAAATCTTTGGTTCATCACACAGAATCTTTGTACACCATCGAGTAGGCGAAAGGATGGTTCCACAGTGTGTGGCATCAACTGCCAAACATGGAGGAGGAAGTGTGATAGTTTAGGGCTGTTTTACTGGATCCCGGGTAGGTGAGTTGTACAGAGTGAGAGGTACCCTGGACTAAAATGGCTATCACAGCATTCTGCAGCACCATGCAGTATACTTTGTTATGCACCTTGTTGGTTAGGGGTCCTACAGCAAGATAATTACCCAAAACACAACTCCAAGCTATGCCAGAACTACCTCAGGAAAACAGAACAAGATGGTAAGATGGTAGTTTGGGATGTACTGGACAAAAGAGTGAAAGCAAAGTGATGTACAAGTGCGATACATTTCTGAACAATATTTGATATTTTTCTATTGTAGAAAGAATGCCACGGGTGTGTTTAGCTGTTATATCTGCCAAAGGTGGCTGCTTTGATGAGTCAAAAAGTTTAGAATACATTTCGGTCTATAAATTGATTCCATGATTTCTTTTTTAACTCCAATTGCTTTTTGTACCAAGAGTTTCTTTTTAATTCCGGATTTCCTAATGCTTGTTTTAATCATTACCGTGGTAATACATTTCTGCTTATTACACAGAAACTGGTCTTTCCAGGTAGACATCACTATTGTTTACGTTTGTTTTAAAAGGTTATTAAAATGGTTATCACGATGTTATTAAATAGAAACAGGCGGTTTGGCTTTTTGCAGCTCTGTTTCCTGCACTGTAAAACCCAATAAATTAATTTTACTCAAAACTTTTGGTGAAACTGATTACATAAAATATTTTAAGTAACTAAAACTTAAAAATAAAGTTAAATAAACACACTTTATTTATTAGCTTTAGATAAATATTTTTAAGTACCATTGATAAATGTTTTTATGTTATATCCACATTTTTGGTTTAGTACTCTCTACTTGATATTTTGAGTTTCAAGTACAAATCTAGCTCAAGTAACTTTAAGGAATTAATTTTTAGTTTCAAAATGTTATCCATTTTAAGCTAATACAACTCAAAAATTTTAAATACAAATGCTCGTAATATCCAAATCTACTGTGTTTTGAATTTGATATAAAAAAAAAGTGCCCAAAATAATTACACTTGTAAAAACATAAGACAGAAAATATAAATTCAAGTTACAAATCTATTGAGTTACTTTGACACATAGCCTTTCTAACAAAAAGCCCAAAGACATAAATCCACCACATTTTATAGGGAATAATGTCAGAAATTTTGGCACAAGGTTACAATATTAGAAATAAAGAATTTCACAACTTGTTTTAAGAGTATTCAAATTTGATTAGGCAAGGCAAGGCAAGGCAAATTTATTTGTATAGCACAATTCAACAACAAGGTGATTCAAAGTGCTTTACAGAGACATTAGAAACAAAAACAAATAAAAAGCATGATTTAAAATTAATTAAAACAAGCAAACAAACAAACTAACTAAACACACACATTTCACACCTGTTCGCGCGATCTAAACCCTTATCGTAAGGGGAGCTACTAGTCCTTCTGTGGACGAGCTACTTTCTATTTTAAATTCCCTGAATTTAAAATACTCTCTAGACCCAGTTGGGGAGCTACCCAGAGCTCTAATTCCACACCTGTTCGCGCGATCTGAACCCTTATCCTAAGGGGAGCTACCAGTCCTTCTGTGGACTAACACATGAGTATGGCCTTTTTATTAAAAAACAAACAAAAGGAAAAGAAAATCCTGCATTATTAGGAGGGAAAACCGAATGAAAGTAATAGTATAGTATAGTGCAGCTAATACACTAAAATATAATTGGTAACCTTTTTAATATGCCAATACTGTGGTTATGCTACATGCACATTTGTAGAGTGCAATCACAGTCTCAACAACAAAGCAATAAAACTTTAAATAGAAAAATACTTCTTTAGAGACATAAACAAAGTGTTATAAACCTCCTTAGCGCCTTATGTCAGTTATGAGTAGTTCAGGAGGAATGTTCCTTAAGTGACATTCAAGATCCCACCTAGAAGCCAGAAATGTAGTGAGATTGTCCTTCATTTTCTCTATAGATTTGCAGTTATCTGACTAAAAACACAATCAAAATCAACTAAAACACAAGTGATAATGGGGGAAAAAAAAATAAAATAAAATAAAATCACCCCTTTTACTTTGGATGTGGCTTTTAGATAATGAAGTATGAAACAGAGTCTGCAAAGATTTCTTTATTCTATTCTCTCTTTTTATAAAAAACTTATCCAGACTTGGAAACATGATAAACTGAATTACTTGCTTTAACAGGCACTTGAGGGCTGTGTAGGAATCCTGGACATTATTCTGCTGCCAAAAGATCATTTTTAAGACTCAGCACTTTGGGCTTCAACTTCCCACCCCCCAGACCCATCAAAACTTTCTGAATAAAGTCAAAAATGTTGGCCAAACATTTTGGGTAGCTTAGGTGCAGGACGTCGGTCAGTCCAAATATTACTAGAAATGCATCAGCCAGGGTGGTGAAAACAACGATCATGTTACCCTCAACCAAAACTGCAGTCTTCTCAGGGCAGAAGAATGTTGCATCGCTGGAATTGGCTCTGATCAGGAGGAGTCCAAGTGGCACTTCACTAATATCTGGTCTATCAGAATGCATCATCTACAGAAAACAAAATTACTACATGTTAGTACATTCCTATTTCTCTTAGTTTCATCTATACAAGTCACATTTCTGGATTATTACTAGCTCAGAAATCAATTGTTTGAACAACAAAAAAGCCACATCACACCAAAGATTTGAGAAAACAAACTGACAAAAATAGTACTTTTAGTAAAGCAAAGTCATACCTCTTCGTAGCAATAACAACAGAAAGTCAATAGGAGTTATATTTTTTTTTCATTTGTACAGTGATGTATGGTTGGGCTAGGAACATTATAGAAGGTCTACACACATTAAAAACATGTAGTGTTTCCATTATGTGACATGGACACTGTTGTAGACAGATCCAAGCATGGAGATGCTTCTCAAACTGTCAAAGTGTCATAATGTTTTGAGAAATCTAAACAAGGATGCTACTAAGATATTGTTCACAACTTTGTCCAAAACTTACATCCCATGTTTTGATGAAGGTAGAGGTGTCTTCGTACAAATAGGCAGAGAGGGCATGAAGCACACCAGCACTTTGGGCATGGATATCAGCTTGTTCCTACATCACAAGAAAATTTTTATTTTAAATTATTGGCTAACCTAGTCAAGAATGGTAATTAAAATTGGAAAAATTGATCAAATTAAATAAAGCTCAAAAAACAAGACAAAAACCCACTAACCTGGAGATTATAGCTTCTGAAGAGCTGAGACAGGACATCAGACACGTTCCCTGTGCAAACAGCTTTCTTTCTGAATAAGCTCTGGAGCCGGGGAGCATGTTGGTCCAACAGCATAAAAGTGGTTCTTCAGGTGGAGGTTTGTAATCCTGTGGAATTCTGCACAGATCTGAACACACAGGATACATTTGTGTTTACAAGTTTCAATTAGTCTATAATTCTTTGCAAAATACATCAAAATCCTTACACTCCAAAGGCATAATTTGTTCAGACAGGCCAGATAACAGGAGTTGATATAAAATACATCTTGTTAGATACATCTATATACATTCTTACCTGGGACTGGGATTTCAGAGTAGGCCAGCAATCCAGGATCTGACCTACTGGTAGGTCATCATTGATGATCTCTTTGCATTGCAAGGCCAAAGTTGTGAGCATCAGCTTTGTAATCAGGATTCTTTTCACTTTTCTCGACTTCATCTACAATCTGTAGTCTTAGCTGGTCAAGGTAAACAGCATCTTCACCCCTGAAAATTTACTTCTGCCCTGGCATGGACATAACAGTAAAACACAGAAGACAAGACAGACTACACAGAGAACAGAAAAGACACACAACCAAGGAGACACAGATGAAACATAACCAGCCCAGAACTCAACTAAACCTTAACTAATAATAACAACAATACAAGAACTTCACCTCATTTCAATATAACATAAGAAAGCAAAAATACAAAATAAACTCAAAATTCTGTGTCACAGACCCAGCCCCTGACAGATAAAAAAAACTAAGTCTTTCACTAATGAACACTGGGCATCAGAATAAAATAAAACGAAAAATTAACTGTTTGGTAAATATATTATTGATGGATTCACCCTTAAGCTAACCTAAAATAGACCAGGCACAACAATTTTACAGTTCAGAAGATTCTACATTTCAATTTAGTATACATAACTATTTGCAATGTAAACCAAGTTCTACCGCGTAATTATGTAATGATTATTCACTGCTTTTGTAAATATGTCCTGTGCCTACAATTTTGCTGCCCCAGTTTTAATATGTACAACTCCAGAGAACTAAATGTAAGTTTCAAGTTCCACCAGTTAGCAAATGGGCTAGCTAATATCAATATCCACGTATGCGCTAAGTGTGAAGCAGCGCAGCAGTGCATATTGATTCAACAATTTAACCACAAGGCAGTTTATAATCTGCAAATCCAGAAATGCCTTCTAAAGACTTCTTTTAAAATAGTAAGAGATTAGAAAAGTTATTCTAAAAGTTATTAACACATTATTAGTCCCAGCAGAGGCTGGGACTAATAATGTGTTATACAACTCTTGAGCCATGATGGGGCGATCGTGGCTCAAGAGTTGGGAGGTCGCCTTGTAATCGGAAGGTTGCTGTTTCGAGCCCCGGCTTGGACAGTCTCGGTCGTTGTGTCCTTGGGCAAGACACTTCACCCGTTGCCTACTGGTGGTGGTCAGAGGGCCCGGTGGCGCCAGTGTCCGGCAGCCTCGCCTCTGTCAGTGCGCCCCAGGGTGGCTGTGGCTACAATGTAGCTTGCCATCACCAGTGTGTGAATGTGTGTGTGAATGGGTGGATGACTGGATATGTAAAGCACTTTGGGGTCCTTAGGGACTAGTAAAGCACTATATAAATACAGGCCATTTACAGGCCATACTAAATATGAGCTTATTAGCATAATTCATGCAAAACACTTTGGGGCCAAGCCGACATGGATAAAATGACACATGCATGTAATTCTTAAATGCCTGCTAGAGTTGTACATTTATGATGATAAAAACCCATATTACAACGGAGAACTACAGTTTCAGAAAAAATAAAACTTACCACAAAAGCGCTCCTGAAGATGCTGCAAAGGCGGTAAATGCAGCTAGCCAAGTGCAGAGCATTAGCTGTTCCAGTTCAAAAGTCCGTAACATACCATAGCATGCCCTCCTTTATCCAGCGTCAAAGGCAATGCCTTGACAAATGTTTTTATTTCTGTTCGGATATTAACGTTCCACAAGTTTCTTTCGGAGTAATGAGCGGGCATTCACACTCGAAGCGAGGAATCCAAGATGGTTGCCAGCACTTCATAAAGAAACAGGTGGCGCACGTAGGTATGTACGTAGGCACGTAAGTGACGTCAGTGTTAAAACTCAAATTATTTGAGGGCAATGCCAGAAACTAATCAATATATTCAAGTACTGATAACTTGAAAAAACAAACTTGTTCAAACTACTCAAAAAAATAAAGGTGTATGAACTTATAACAGGTTTTTAAGTAGTTGGAACTCATTTCATTTATCAAACTATTACTATTCGGTCTTACAGTGTGTTTATTACATAGAAAACACAGGTATTTCCATTTAATAATCCAGGGTATACACTTTTAAGCAAAGCAGGAAACTAAGGATTATAATATAGTAATACTATCCAAATATGATAAAACATCGGCCAATATTACCTTATTATTATGAGGTAAGTCTAAAAAGATGTGAAAATTCAAACACAGACATAACCTGCTAGCAATAAGAAGGTTATCATATTGTTACCAAGGTATTATATAAATCAGGTGATTCAGCAGAGCTTTGGATGAAGCATGTGAAAGCAATAGTATGTAAAGGGTTGCAATTAAATGTGTTACACACAATAATAACCACTGGTAATGTGAAAACACCACTGTGCATATCACCAGGAATAGGAAGTGTCACAATACTGCTGTGATCCAATAGCATCAAATGTGGTAAGATGATACCTGAGAGAAGATGTAAAAGCTAAGGCAACTTTTCCATTATACTGATATGTATTTCTTTACCTGTTAATGAATTTGGGAGTATGTTTCTCCAGTAGTGAATTTAGATCTCATTCTATAGTTTGTTCTATTCTCTGTAAGACTCTTCGCTGGGAAGCGACAGGCACTGGTAATGCAAAATAATCTACCAATCTACACTGTAATTACACAGCTGGAATGAGGTCTTTACTGCTTGCCTCAAATAAGGCTTAAGTTCCCCCGAGTCACAGTGAGAGATGTGCATCAAGGTGCAATGAGAGTCACTACAGAGGAAACCTGGATTTAAATCATTGCAAAACCTGTAATATGTTCCTGAAAGTGATTGTGCCCACTTTATTTCTGTTCAAAAGTTAAGAGATACTTATTCCATTAACAATCATTATTAAAAGCGATAACCCAAACATTTGTCCCCTTTTCCTCCCCAAGAAGTGTTGTAAAGCTGTTAAATGTAAATCTGCACACTATTCGGCCCAATCCTATGTTCTGATATTACATCGGTAAACAAAAGTTGGGTGACTCATTATTGCCTCAGAAGGACTCTGCATGTTTATATCAAATGCATGCTTTTGGCACCACATTACCTGAAGCTCAAACCCATTGGGTTATTGCAGCAGAACAATGATCCAAAACACAACAGAAACCCCACTAGACCACTCCAAAACCATTCTTTAGCCTTTCAAAGTCCTGAGCTAAATCCAGTTGAGATGCTTTGTCATGACTTTAAACGAGCCATCCATGCTCCAAAACCCACCAATGTGTTTGAATAAAAGCTATTCTTAAGTATTATAACTATTCCACGAAGAGTGAGCCAAAATTATTTCACAGACTTCTCACAGCTTTATTGGAGTTCCTTCTGCCAGGAAAGGCACAACCAGTAATTAGGTTTAGGTGGAAGTTGTTTTTTTCACATAGTTCCAGGTAGGTTTTAAATTAAATTTTATTTCCCCTTAATCAGTGAAGTCATCATGTAAAAACTACATTGTATATTTACCTGGGTTATCTAAATATGCAAAACAAAAATTGAAGAAGAGGGCAAATACCTTTTCACAACACTATAATCATGTAAATTCCAGTGCCAAAGTGTCAGTAGCTTTGTTCAGATGAATATTAACGTCAATAATTACAGGAGCTCTGACATAATGATGGTAGGGATAGTGCATTTCACCAAATACATTATATTGAAAAAAGTTGCACATACCAAAAACCAAGTGTCAATTTTACACTTAGAGAGTTGATTTTAATTCCGTTTCAGATAACATTTGGTCCCACTCAAAATTAGAGTAAAATTGACTCTATGGCCAGTGTTAACTTTCCAGTGTTAATTTTATTCCATTTAGTGTCAAAATTAACAATAAAATGTGTAAAAATATTAAAAACCAAGGGTTATTCACACTGCTCAGAGTAATATGATTACACTTCATAGAGCTATTTATACTCCAAATTTAGTTTTAAAATAATGATCTAATGTGTAATAATATTTCATTTTTATTTGTCTGTAGTGTTACTTTTTTCATATTCATTAGTGATGTGTCGGTTGCGAACGAAATGGCTCTTAGAGCCGGATCTTCGATGTGAACGACGCGAGCCGGCTCCTTATCGCGAGCCATGGGGTTTGTTTTTCTTTTTCTCACCCTCTCTCTCGCACTTTTTTCCCGCTTCACTCCGCATGCGAGCCTTGTGCTTGTGCTGAGAAGAGGGGGGAGGGGCGGTAGTTACAGTTGCAGTAGCACAGCAACAGAGCAGGAGGGAGAGACAGAGGAAGAGAGCCAGGGACAAAAGCGTCACATTAAAAAGGTATAGTAATCATCCACAACTATTTTCAGTTGCGGATGATAAAGGATTCAGAAAGTTTATTCATGCAGGCCCATATGACAGAGAATGACAGAGAATCTTCTTTTTGTTTTCATATTTTAATTTATATTTAATTGTGTTGTGGTTTGCAGTCTTTTGTGTTGTTTCGCTTTAAATTTGTTTAAAAGGAAAAAGCTAAAAGTTGAAATGTGAATAGTTGGTTTTTGTATTATATGATTTATTTATTACATTTTATGTGGAGTGAATAAATAAAAGTACAGGGTGGGCCATTTATATGGATACACCGTAATAAAATGGGAATGGTTGGTGATGTTAAAGTCCTGTTTGTGGCACATTAGTATATGTGAGGGGGTAAACTCCTCAAGATGGGTGGTGACCATGGTGGCCATTTAGAAGTCGGCCATCTTGGATACAACTTTTGTTTTTTCAATCCGATTATTAAGTGATGATGTGACGAATCCTACTTCCGGGCCTAAAGTAGTCTGTGTTTAATATGGCTTTTGTGTTGTTAACGTGTTTAATGCTTTGTATTTTCTTCTATTTAATCTCAAAAAGCTCCTAAAAAAAGTCAGTGATCACCATTGACCTCCCTCGGCTTTTATTACCGCTAATCATTTATTTAAGCTCAGTTTTTAAAACCTTACGATGTAACTACAGCACAGCCCATGCAGCAGTATATGAATGACTAACCTCGTATTGTGGATAGATTATCTCAGTTGTTCTCCTGGCTGAAGTTTGGTCCTTTTACAGCATCCTGCCATGCGATTACATTTGTTCCTGACCACTGAGAACCCTCACGTTAACTTTTATCCAGTGGAAAAAAAGTTAGCTTGTTTATATTATGCTAACATAGCTGTGTTGCTAGCGGTCACGTAGCACATCATTATATACCAGCTAGCCAAACTTCAGTAACCCTACAAACGTCACTGCTGTTTAGTTTTCTGTCTTCATTTATGTTGGAAGTTGGAAGTGATAACAGAGCTGTACGTTTGAATTTGTTTCCAAAACCCCGCAGTCAGGACATGCTATATTGTATTTAGATGGAAGCTAGCGATCTAACTTCCTGCTAACTTCTAACTCCGTTAAATGTCATAAATTCCGTTTTCATGGATGCCTGGATGTTAAACTCAGTTGTTACACCTGGTAGAGCAGAACGCTGATAATTTTATTAAAGATGAAAGACTTAAGAATGTGTTTTAACTCTCAGTAATGCCACAGTGATCATTTGATATATGGACCTGCAGCAGAGTATAGGAAGAGGGCCATTTGACACATCAAACTTATTGGTAATGTCACAAGAAAAACAATGGTGTGCTTGGTTTCAAGGTAACTTTATTCATTCATGAGTTATTTACAAGTTTCTGACTTACACTCTGACACTTATAAAATGTGCTCAATGTGCTGCCCATTGTGTTGGATTATCAATGCAACCCTCTTCTCCCACTCTTCACACACTGATTGTCATGGTTGGCTGTGTGGCAGGCAGGCAGGAGTGGTGGACCCAATATGCAGGACTCTTGGAGACAGGACTTAAACTAAAAACGCAGCTTTATTGCTGGAAAAACTCCTCAAACTATGACTCTCAAAAAACAGTGGTGCTGGAAAACTGGAACATGACAAACACACAGCATGGAGAAGGTAAGAGGATGAACAGACGTTAACGATGCGAAACCAAGTAGGGGAAGACACAGACACTAAATACAAGAGCTGAACGGAGCGAAGAGGAAAAAGCTGGGAGACACGGCTGACGCTGATTACACTGACGAGACAGGGAGAGCACAAAGCTGAACGCACTGACATAGGACACAGACCTACAAAATAAAACAGGTAGCACACGACAGACAGAGACACAGACGCAGACTCATAAGCAGGCATACCGAATATAACACATAGAACTCAAACAATAATAATCATCATCAACAAAACACCAGAGAAACAAAACGTTCATTCAAAAATAGACCAGAACTCAGAATGCTGGGTCAATACTGACCCAGAACCATGACACTGATAGCAACACCGCAGGAGCAATGCCAGCACAGGCATCCAGTATCCGTAGTTTCAGGTGCTGCACATCACGCACATCACATCAGGAGGCAAGCGTTTGTCACACTTCCGCAGTCCTCCAGAATTTCTGTCCCCTCAATGATGACCGATACGTTCACAGGATCTTGGTTTTCCCGTGCCACATTGGGATGGATTACGATGATCTTCATCATGTGATTACTGCAGTCCTCTTTCAATGCTTCTTGGCTGACGTCCTGTGAAAACAAACAAACCACAATTAGAAATAACTAG